AGGCATTTCACAAAAGGGTTATTAAATGATTCATAGACATATAAAGAGTTTTAAATTTTATTAGTTACCAAGAAAATGTATAATGAAGTCAGTGAGACCACTGCAAGCCCATAAAAGTGACCCAAAAAAAAATAATACTGACAATATGAATAGTTGGTACAGCTATGAACATCTGATAGAAGTTAAATGGGTGAAAATACCTTGAAACAGTTTGGCAGTGCTTTCTAAAGCTTCACATACGCACACGCACACAAACATATTATGTATGTACACATTTAGAGAGCGAGAGAAATACACACACATTTAGAGAGGGAGAGCATACACACGTACACACACACTACAGACGCCCAAGGGCCCAGCATAGTAAAGGACATGTTTGTTTTTTTGTTTTTCAAATTAAGTATGTTGTTCAGGTAGCGATAGTACAGCAGGTAGGATGTTTGCCTTACATGCGGCCAACCCAGGTTCACTCCCTGGTATGTATTCCATTTGGATCTCTAGCACTGTCAGGAGTAATTTCTGAGTGCAGAGTCAGGAGTAACCCCTGAGCATCACTGGGTTTGACCCAAAAAAGCCAAAGAGTGATTGTATTTAGTTCATCATCCTTGTGAGATAAGAGCAAAAAATTTAAAAATAAATATGTTCATGACAATACTCTTCAGCAGCCCCAAACTGGAAATAAGTCAGGTGTCCATCATCAGTAGGTTAAATAAGTATGTGTTCGTTGTAATGTTGTCATTGTATTCAGTGGTGTTTGCTTAACCTAAATGTGGACCAGGTTCTTTTCTCTATTAAAGTAAAGCCTTTGGCAGCCGGAGTACAGCAGGTAGGGCAAAGTACAGCAGGTAGAGCATTTGCCTTGCACTTGACCAACCCGGGTTTGATCCCTGGCATCCCGTATGGTCCTTCAAGCACAGCCAGGAATAATTCCTGGGTGCAGAGCCAGGAGTAACCCCTGAGCATCGCTGGGTGTGACCCAAAAAGCAAAAATAAATAAAGTAGCTGCTCGAAGGGAAAAAATGAATAAATAAAGTAAAACCATTTTGTGATACATACGATAATCACTCAAAACATTTTTATATGTTCACTAACATTCTGTACTTAAGGCATTGCAAATTAGTGGCAAACAGTGATCCACAAGAACCATGCTTCAAATTACCATGATTTACAGCAGTGAAAACAAGCAGACTGCATTGATGCAGCATGGACAACTCACAAACACAAGAGTCTGTATTTTCTTCTTTTTTAGAGTTGGAGGTGAGGGGTCCACACCCAGCAGTGCTCGGGGCTTATTCCTGGCTCTGCGCTTAGACAGGACTCATGGGACTATATGTGGTGCCAGGATCTAACCCAGGTCAGCCACATGCAAATCCAGGACTCTATGCTCTGTATTCTCTTTCCGGCACATGAATGTATTTTTTTTATATATGGAATTTACTGACAACAAAATCACTGACACTTGGTGTTAGAAGTTAGGGTTACACTTGAAGAATCAGAAGTTGTCATTTGAAGGGCCCATGAGGGAATTCTGTAGTTCTTAATTTTGGCATTGTGTCATTTTGCTGCTGGCTATGTGGATTTGTTCATTTCTTGAAAGTTTATCTAGCTGTACTCTTAACAGTTTGGGCTATTTTCTGTTTATATATATTACACTTAACCATTTACATTAAAAATAATTCAACACCTATTAAACAGATGCCCTCCAAACTTATGAAGGTAGTGGTTTAATGGGGAAAAAAACAACATGCAAGCGTTTCAACAAATGTGGAATTACAGATTATGTGTTCATGATAAAAATCACAGCAACATTGAGTGATAGAGAATAATTGAAGGAAGGCAACTCTTCATATAAGCCTCTCTGACAAGATACTTCAGCTCAGATCTGAAGGATGAAAAGAAATTAGTGCTGCCAAAGAAATCACATCAGTGGTAAACAATCCAAAAGCTGTTTTGAATAGAGAAAAAAAACTTAAAGGGTTGGAGCAATAGCACAGCGGGTAGGATGTTTGCCTTGTACACAGCCAACCCGGGTTCTAATCCCAGCATCCCATATGGTCCCCTGAGCACCGCCAGGAGTAATTCCTGAGTGCAGAGCCAGGAGGAACCCCTGTTCATTGCCAGGTGTAACACAAAAAAAAAAAAAAAAAGAAAGAAAAAGGCAAGAAAAACTTAAACGAATTTATATTAAAACAGGCCATTGCAGACATAGGGTACAAATTGGTGTTCAGGACAGTAAGAAATGAAATAGAAAGAAGTAAGATTTTAGTTTACAGTTGCAAATAATGGAAAGATTAAAATGGATAATTTTTCAAAAGAGGCCTGTTAATAGTGGCATAGATGCTGAAAAGAAAAGAATAGAAAAGAGTAAGATAGGTGAGAATTTACTTTAAAAGGAAGTGCATAGTGCATTTCCAGTTAATTTTCTAAACCAGACATATATGTTCTTAAGAATTAATGGAAGATTGGGGCTGGAGTGATAGTACAGTGGGTAGGACTTTTCTCTTGTATATGACTGATCCCCAGCAACTCATATGGTCCCCTGCGCATTGCCAGGAGTAATTCCTGAGTGCAGAGCCAGGAGTAACCCCTGAGCATCACTGAGTGTGACCAAAAAGGATTTTTAAAAAAAGGAATTAATGGAAGAATTTCTCATGGGTTTCAGTGTACTTCTTGTAATCTGGATAAATGAAAGTGTACATATTGGAGAATTTCTATTTAGGCATTTGAAGTTGGATGTGAATGAATGCTGTCCATTCATTCTGACCTTGCAAATCTTGGTTGTTTCTGGCATACTTCTGGTCCTGTTTCCCCTTATCCTTCCTCAGAACACAATTATTTTGTTTCTTCTCATTTCAGCTCTACCTTTTTTTTGTGTTTGTAAAATTGTGTTTGTTTCCTTCCTTCTTTTTCTTTCACCCTCAGAATCAAATATTTTAGATTTGTCATCAAAAAACATCCTCCTTCAAATATTTCATTCCAAGTAAGCACTTTAATGTGTATCATCATAGTATAGTCCTTTTTTTTTTTAACCCTAACAGTTTCCTATTTATGAGGATGTATATGGGGAAATTTTGGTTCAGAGAAACTACATACCTTGTCTGAGGTCACAACTAAGGCTTTAGACCCCAAATGCGGTGCTTTTTCCATTAAACATCTGAGGCCTTCATTGCTTCCAAATCAAAACATGATGATAATGTGTTCAAAATGTTGGCATCCGCATCCTGAATATTGAAAGTATACCTTGTTATTTTTATGAGTTACCTTCCTAGGAGAAAGGTATCTGTAATATATACTATATTATATAAAGGTAAAGGCCCTCCCGTTGTTCGTCGATTTGCTCAAGCGGGCCCAGTAACGTCTCCATTGGAGACTTTGTTGTTACTGTGTTTGGCATATCGGATACGCCACGGGTAGCTTGCCAGGCTCTGCCCTGTGGGCGAGATACTCTTGGTAGCTTGCCGGGTTCTCCGAGAGGGGCGGAGGAATTGAACTCGGGTCGGCCTTGTTGGCTGCATGCAAGGCAAACGCCCTACCGCTGTGCTATCAATTTTATATACATATGTAGTATTTATGTACATGTATAAGTATATTTCACCTTAGATAGATATGAGATCAGTTATATTAAGTGTTAGAAGTGATAATCATAGTTTCAGAGGCCAGAGAGAGTACAAGAAGTAACACTTGTCTTGTATGTTGCCACTTCTTATGAACTTGTTCAATACTGGGTAGCACATGTGGTCCCCAGAACACCACCAGGGATCACTATTGAACACCATTAGGGACCATACAATAATAATTATCACTACTTTCATTTGTCTTACTGAAAATCTGAAAGAAGATAGGATCTTTCTGCCGATGTAGCTGATTAAAGAAATTCTAGTAGAAATTTTAGTATCACTGAAAACAAGGAGTGTTGGATATGATTGAGTGATTGTTGAGAGCTTAATTTTTTCCATACTTCATTCTGACTCTCTGTGTCTCACAAATGTCACTAACAGTGAGTGGATGGTGGGAAAACAAAAGATAAAATAAGTTTTCATCATTTGTTGGTAGCCCTGGAACACTGTTTCCCAAAGTAGGCAGTAATACCCGCCAGGAGTTGCTGGAACAATCCAGGATGGGAGTGGTAATAGTTGGACTACAGTAGGGAGGGCACTTTATGTTTGTTCATTTTAAAAAAGGTAGATTTCCAGGTGGATACTGCATCGTCTTTTTTTTCTGAAGGGAATTTTTACTCAAGAAATTACGAATTTGATTTTGTGGAACTGGGAAATTAAGATAATTTAAAATAACAAAGTTTATAGCCTCTTTTGCTTTTGAATGTTGAAAAGACATTTTATTACAAATGTGCAACCCACTCCTAAATTATTTTAGAGCAATTTACATTTGTACTTTCATAATGGCTAGTCAAATGAAGCAGACTATTATAGAAGAAGAAAGCTAGACTTTCTGGAACTGGAAGTGATCCCTGGTTGAATTGAATCTTTATGTAAAAGAGTAGGTAACACATGGGTGCTGATCACTTCTCCTGAAAGTCATGTATTTCGAAAACTATTGTAAGGGAGTGGCTTGATCAACTTCTGGCTTCAGCTTTGTCTGGCTATTCAAATAAGACAGTGGTTGTTCACTTGGTACTACTTTGGGAATTCTTCGTAGGTTATCTTAAATTCTGTGTGGGGGTGCTGGAGTGATAGCACAGCGCGTAGGGCGTTTGCCTTGCACGCAGCCAACCTGGGTTCGATTCCCAGCATCCCATATGGTCCCCTGGGCACCGCCAGGAGTAATTCCTGAGTGCAGAGCCAGGAGGAATCCCAGGTGTGACCCAAAAAGCAGAAAAAAAAATGGGAAAAAAATTCTTCTGTGTGTGGTGTAAGAATGGCTTTACAAAGGGGCCTTGAGATGACTATACAACTATACAACCTCAAGAGATGTTGTAATATACCAAATTCTGTAGGAAGTCATTCAATCCCCAATTTTCCCTTTCCTCTCGTTTGTCATAGAGTGATTCTCATCAGTTCCGAGTCATGGCAGCTGTCCTTCGCCATTGTTTACTAATTGTAGGTCCAACAGAAGAAAAAACAGAAGAGCTGCACAGGTAGGTCACCTCCGTATTGATACCTCATTGAAGAGCATCACCAGGTTTTGTTTTTATGTATCCAGTTTTAATTGTCTATTTAGAGCAGTAAATAAGTAACTGGTACATTAAAAATCATCAAGTGCCATTACTGAATATTTATGGTGTGACATCATCCCAAGTTCTTTATAAAGATTAACTTCTTTAATCATCATACTAACTTCATAGTAGGTAGGTATCACTGTTTTTCCGTCTCCATAGATAATGAAACTGAGGCAGTTTCTCCCATAGCACTCAGCCCAAATAACTGAAAGAACTTGGATTTGAACCCCGTTTTTAATTGCTACATTTAATCTAATACTCTCACAAATGTCATTCCTAAAAAGTATTTACCAAGGACAGGTGATATAGTTCAGCAGTGGAGCGCTTGTTCTGATCATTTCAGGTCTTAGGTGTGAACCCTAGCACTGCAAAAAATGTGGGAACCCAAGCACGGTTCCACATCTTCTGGCTCTAATACTGAATCCCCGGCCCTGTTGGCTCAGTAACATCATGAGTGGCCCTGGGAATCCTGAACACTGCTTGGGGTATCTCCCCCAAGTAACTGATAATGTTTTATAAGAATACAAATGGTATTTTAAAAAATTTAAATAGGGCTGGGAAGATAGAAGTGGGGCTAGGGAACTTGCTTTGCATGTGGCAGACACCGGTTTGATCCCTGAGCATTCCACCTAACACTCAACCCCCAAATTGAAACTTTGAATTGTTTCAAAGAAACAATTCTGTTTTACAAATAGTTCTTAAATTGTGGGGGTTTTTTCATAGTAAAAATTACCTTTTCAGCATTTAAAATACATGTTTTTACACATACAGTTTATGGGATAGGGACGTGGCTCAGTCAGTGACAGCGTGCCTGCCTCACATGTGTGAGATTTGGAGTTTGATTCCCAGCACTGCACAAAAACAAGCCAAAAAAGAAAAGAAAATCCTCAAAATATAGTGTAAGTAAAGCTTTGTACAAACAGAGCCAAATATAAAATGAAACGTCCTTTGTGACTAGACAGTACAGCAGGACTTGAAAGACAGTATAGTGTATTGAAACAAAAACACCTATTTTTCAGTCACATATTATCTTACATTGGACATTATATTAAGTTCATCAGTAGGTTATCTTTGTATTCTCTGCCATGCAAGCCTTTATAAGGTTATTTTTCTCACAATGAAAAAACATAGTATTGTACATGACAGGGTATGCATAGTATAGCAGGTAGAACACTTGCCTTGCACTTGGCCAACCTGGGTTCAATCCTCATTACCACAAGAACTGTCAGGAGTATTTCCTGAGCACAGAGCACTAGGTGTGGCCCAAAACCAAAAGCATAATGTAGTAAGTAGCTCTGTCTTTTAAAAAAAATCAGATAAACTATGATACATCATATTCTTTAAGAATTACATTAAACATTTTTACTTACTATTTTTTTCATAACCAAGAAACAACAGAACTCTAGAATCTATAAAAGAGTTTACAAAAAGTAAGTTTCATTTTCAGATAGATATCAATCAACTATGCAGGGAATTGAGGATCAGGTGTTTTGACTAGAATTTTCAACTAACCACAAAACAAGTGTTCTCTAAGGTAAAGGTAAAGGTAAAGGCCCTCCCGTTGATCGTCGATTTGCTTGAGCGGGCCCAGTAACGTCTCCATTGGAGACTTTTGTTGTTACTGTGTCTGGCATATCGAATACTCTCGGTAGCTTGCCGGGCTCTCCGAGAGGGGCGGAGGAATCGAACTCGGGTCGGCCATGTTGGCCGTGTGTAAGGCGAACGCCCTACCCGCTGTGCTATCGCTCCAGCCCGCAAGTGTTCTCTAAGAGTGAATTTAACAGGGAACCACTGTTTCTCAAAAGAGCAAAACTGCATAGAGCGGGACTGGAGCGATAGCACAGAGGATAGGGCATTTGCCTTGCACGTGGTCAACCCGGGTTCAATTCCCAGCATCCCATATGGTCCTCGAAGCACCGCCAGGAGTAATTTCTGAGTGCAGAACCAGGAGTAACCCCTGTGCATCACTGGGTGTGACACAAAAAGCAAAACAAAAAAAAATTTTTTTAAAGTGCATAGAGCTTTTAAAACCTAATTTAAAAGAAAATACAGTTTCTTCATTTTCTATTATGGTATTTGATTTAAGTGTTTCTTTTTCTTAGATGATTCTAAAGATATTTTTCTTAAATTAGCTAAGTCTTATTGCTTTGATGAAATACCCATTAGAAGTTGTGTAAGGGATAGAAGGGATATCCTAGGGCTGGAGAGATAATACAGCAAGTGGGGTGCTTTCCTTGCATGTGGCTGATTTGGGTTTGGTCTCCAGCACTCTCTATGTTCCTCTAACCCCTGGCCAGGAGTGATCTCTGAATACTTCCAGATACAGCCCAAATACCAAAAAGAAAAAAAGTAAAAGAAGAAAAAAAAATAAAGGATGTCCCTAGGGACTGGGAACATACTACAGGGGTTAAGATATGTGCTTTGCAGTGCCCAACCCCTGTTCAGTCCCCAGCACCATATGGTCCCCTAAAGTACCACAAGGTGTGTTTCTGGTGGCTCCCAGGCACCACCAGAGGGGCACAAGTGGTACCCCCAGCATTGCAGGGCCTGAACAGCACAACATGGTTGCCTCTTGCATTGAATTCCTCACCTGGTTAGCAGAGAATTGCCAGAAGTAATGGCTGGATCATCACTTAGGAGGCTTCCTCCTCAAAAGGGGTGGGGTGGGGGTGTAAAGAAAGAATGTCTTTGGCTTGGGAGTTGGCTCAGAGACACATCCTTTGCCTGTGAAAGGACCTGCGTTCAGTCCAGAGCGCCCCACAGCCCCCAACACTGCAGTGTGTAGTCATTGGGTGTGAGCAGCACAACACTTGGGCCTTGTATTAAACCATCTTGCCTGATTGGAGAGTTGCCGTGGGACTCCCTGAGCACTGCCTGGGAAATCCCCACTCTTTTATCCCTCCCCTGCCCCATCCCTGCAGAGAGAGAGAGAGAGAGAAAGAGAGAGAGAGAGAGTCTTCTTAGAGCCACTAACAGCATTTACTAGTATGTCTCAAAGATGTTACTGGGAAAATTGAGTGCTTCTTAACTTGACAGCTTATCTGAAATGGACCTGCATGTCTCTTTAATCAGAATTAAATTGATTAGTATCATCTTGAGCAGTAGTAATGATGCTAGTCTAGTCCATTTAAATATAGAGAAAACTGTACCACTCTCAAAGGGCAATGTTGGGAATTTTACTAGTACTCTAACACCTACCTAGTTGTATTAATTTATAGTCATCCTGAAAATAGTTTTACTGTTTATCTTTAAGAAATCATTTTTTAAAAACTCTCTTGAGTTTTTAAAGGTTTAAGTGTTTTAAAGTAAACTCTTACTCCATTTCTCAGTTATTTTCTAAGTTATTCTATTTCTGTTTTCTAGCTTTGGAGATGACATTAATTCTTTTTTTAAGAAAAACTATATATAAAGTAAGCGTGAATAGTGTGTATGACTTGTCATCAAATGCAAAGGATTATGATGGTGATTTAATGCCAGATTTATAAAGCACTTCTTCCCTAGCGCTGAGTAAGCCCTTAGCTGCTGGCCCCTCCCCAGAACAGCTGTCTTTGCTGCCTTAGTGATGTTGTTGTACAAGAATATGGGCTTTTAGGTCCAGAATTTCATTCTAAACATGTTCTTAAAGTTGATTCTTGATTTTAGTAATTTGTTTAGGAACACATTTCTATATGTATTTTGTGATCGTGTAGAGAAAAGTTGTAAGCTAATCTATTTTCCCAGGTCAGCTATATTCTGTGATACAGACATAGCAGTAGCATAATAAGGTATCCAGAAGTTGAGACAGTAAAAATAATGGTTTAGCTTTTTCTGATGTGTTGTTTCTGTAAGACAGTGTTCTTTATTGTTTTCGATGCTGGGGATCAAACACAGGACCTAACACTTGGCAGGCATGCGCTTTACTACTGAGCCATATCCCTGGCCTATTGTCTTTCTTTTTCCCCCAAAGAAGTCAGAAGGATATGAGCATAGAGATAAAATTAGTTCACAAATAGAGTTGACCTCGACCTTTATTTTTACTAATCAGCATCTTAGGTCACTTTAAAAAATCTATTGCATTTCCTTTTATCTATACCATTGGTAACAAAAAGTTGGTATTATCTACCTTTTATTTTTTTTTCTTTTTTTTCCTTTTGCTTTTTGGGTCACACCCAGCGATGCTCAGGGGTCACTTCTGGCTCTGCACTCTGGAATTACTCCTGGCAGTGCTTGGGGGACCATATGAGATGCCGGGGATCAAACCCAGGTCGGCTGAGTGCAAGGCAAATGCCCTACCGGCTGTGCTATATCACTCCGGCCCCAACCTTTTTATCTTTCATTTGTTTGCTTGGTTTTCATTCCTGAGCCACACTCAGCAGTGCTCAGGGGACCCCACAGAGCCAGGAATTGAAACCAGGGTTCTAGCATGTATATCAAGTGCTCCAGCTAGTTGAGCTGCCTCTTTTGCCTCTAAACAGAACGGCCTACTTCTGTTCATCTCTGTTTTCTATCTGAAAGGGTCTTTTTGTTTTGATGTGTTTTGGGTTTGTTTTGATGTATTTGGGAATGGGGAAGGAGGTGGTCACACCAAGGATCACTCCTGGTAGGCTCAGAGGACCATATGGAGTGCTGGGATTCGAACCTAGGTTGGCTCTGTGCAAGACAAATACCCTGCCCACTGTACTGTCTCTTTGACCTCTAACTGAAAGAATTTTCAGCATTTTTATTCATTATCAAAAAGCACATACATAAGCACTTAGCCAGAAAAGAAGTATGTGGATACGATTTTGTTTTATTTTGGAGAGGAGAGGTGTACCTGACTTATACTGCAGAGGACAGAAGAGGAGAGGAAAATTGAAAATTTTAAGTTCTCAGTTTCATTTCTTCCACTCAGCAGTTGTCATCTTTGAAGATTTTTTATTGTCAGTTTTGTTTTTAGACCG